CCGAGCCGAAGGCAGACACCTAACGACTGAGCCACCCAGGCGCCCCTAAGTCACTCTCCTCTTAATCTAGGCTCCCACCCCCATGCCCAGGGCAGAAGCCAACAACAGCTGGACCGTTGGAAATGCCACCATGGAGAAATGTGAGTGCCTGCGTCATGGGAGATGTTTGGCATGGCAGGGGCAGAGCTGAGCAGAGGAAGGTCTACCCCCCCAACCCCCACCACTGCTGCTACCAGGCCCAGGAAAGCTAGCTGTCAACCAGCTCAGCTCCTGGGCTTCGGCTAGGCCCTGCTGTTGAAGCTGAAGGAGGCTGGGGTGGGATCTTAGGCTCCAATCCCAAGAGGGCAGCAAAAGTGGGGGGCTGGGAACCAGTTGTAGAGGTTCAGCTCTCAGCAGCTTGACACTTCCCCCCTGCCAGGCAACCACATCTTCGTGGACACAGGGCTGCCTGACTTGGCCGTGGGGCTCATTCTGCTGGCCGGCTCCCTGGTGGTCCTATGCACCTGCCTCATCCTCCTCGTCAAGATGCTCAACTCTTTGCTTAAGGGCCAGGTGGCTAAGGTCATTCAGAAGGTTATCAACACTGGTGAGCCCCCAAGAACTGGGTGTGCGGGCCCCAGGACGGGACCTTCCAAATCTTACTAAGTCCCACTGCTGCCTTGCTGTGCGATCTGAGTGAAGCCCTGCCATCTCTGAGCCTCGGTTTCTCCCTGGAACAAAGAAGGGGTTGGGTTGGGTGTAGATCTCAGGCTCCCGAGGTGCTGGCAGCTGGGGATCCGCGGCTGCCTCTGGCTGTGGTTCCATTCGAGTAGGTGGCTCGAAACAGATTCTCAGAGGCCACTGACTCATTCAACAAGTACTCTCAACATCCGTGTGCCCAAGCATGGGGTAGTGCCAAGGATACAGAGCTGAGCCACAGAGATGGATCCTACCTTCAGGGGACTCCCAGCCCAGAGGAGGAGATGGATGTACAATGAAAAATAAATGGTCAAGGGGGGAATACATTCAGATAGAGGAGTGACCGCCAAGGAGAAAGCGAAAGTGACAAATAGAGAATATGGAAGAAGCTGCTTTCAATGGGCAGTCAGCAGTCTCTGTGAGGGAGCCAAAATGAGGAGTAGGTAGTCAGATGTGGCTGAGGGGTGTTCGGTGCGGAGGGAACAGCAGGTGCAAAGGCACAGAGGCAGGGACCAGCTGGGCAGAAAGGTGGCCAGCAGTGCGGTGGGAGCTCAGTGAGTGAGGCAGGGAGAGGTCGGCAAGGTAACAGGGATGGAGCAGACCACAGGGCCCCCACAGGCTGTGTTCAGAGGCTGGACTTTATTAAGGGTAATGGGGGCCCTTGAAGGATTGGGGCATGGGAATGACACCATCTGATTTTCATCTCAAGCTTCACTTCAGTCTTTGGGGACAGTGCCTGGCCCTGGCAGAGGCTGCATAACAAATACTGGAGTCAGGTGCCTTTGTGGATTCAGGGGAGCTTAGGGACGGGAGAAACAAAGTTGGCCAGAGGGCCAAGGGTCAGGGAGGGCTTTTCGGCAGCCGTGGTATCCGCACTGATCCCCAAGGAGGAACATGTAGAAGCAAGAAGGATATTCCGGGCAGAGGGAACAGTCGAAGCAACGATGTGAACGAACCAGGCTGAGAAGGGCCTTTAACCCAAGATCAAGGAGGGCGAGTAGAAGCCACTACAGTTGAACAGGGGACTGCACTGACAAGGCCCAACCTGGAAGCAGGCATCCAATCCCCTCCTCCCTAGGGGAGGCCCTGGCTACTCTGTCAATGCCCTCCTACTGACCCTGCTGGGACGGGTGTGTCCTCGTAGACTTCCCCGCCCCCTTCACCTGGGCCACAGGCTACTTTGCCATGGTAGTGGGTGCCGGCATGACCTTCGTTGTCCAGAGCAGCTCTGTGTTCACCTCAGCCATTACCCCACTCATTGGTGAGTGCCCATGGCAAGGCGGGGCGGGGGGTGGGCAGGCTGGCAGGGAAAGGGCTGAAGGAGGGGCCTGGGGAGAACCTATCCTCTCCGTCTGCCCCCAGGCCTGGGTGTGATCAGCATTGAAAGGGCCTACCCCCTCACGCTTGGCTCCAACATTGGCACTACCACCACGGCCATCCTGGCTGCACTGGCCAGCCCCAAGGAGAAGCTGTCCAGCTCCTTCCAGGTGCGTCTGGGAGGGTGGCTGCCAGGGGTAAGACAGGGCTGGGACTGAGTCATGGCACCTGACCCAGGGTGGGACACCATGTAACAAAGTTTTTGATGGCCTACTAGGGGCCACCCACTATGCCAGGCTCTGTGGAAACCACATGGGGCAAAGTCGGCCTGGTGCCACCTCCAAGACCTTAGCACCTACCAGGCACAAATTACTCAGATAATCACACAAACAACAGCTACTGGGATTTGCACTCTGAGGAAGGGCTGCAGCACGACAGGGGCTGGCCCATTCTTGGGGTCGAAGGACAAGTAGGGGGGGTCAGATGGCAAAGGGGTTGCTGTTCTAGGAGCAAAGGAGTAATGACAAGCCTGGGGCTGGGGCCAGGGCTCAGACCAATCAGAAGGCCGGAGCTGCCGAGCCAGAAACTATTATGCATCTCTTTGCTGCTGGGTTTGGGCAGGATCTGCTGGGCAATTTGCAAGAGGGGTCAGTGGGGGGAAACGTATAGCATTAGCGCAGCGTTTATTTACCACCTGGTCCAGAAGTGTGTCTCAGTATTTTACTAGGAGCACACCAGCTCTGACTTTCCTGCTGCCCAGGCCAGGCCAGGCTCCGCTTATCTACCCCTGCTGGCATGACGGAGGGCCAGCGGCCACACCCACCTCAGCCCCTCTGCCCTCTCCTCTACAGATTGCCCTCTGCCACTTCTTCTTCAACATCTCAGGCATCCTGCTGTGGTACCCGGTGCCCTGCACGCGCCTGCCCATCCGCATGGCCAAGGCACTGGGCAAGCGCACCGCCAAGTACCGCTGGTTTGCCGTTCTCTACCTCCTCCTGTGCTTCCTGCTGCTGCCCTCGCTGGTGTTCGGCGTCTCCATGGCAGGCTGGCGGGCCATGGTGGGTGTGGGCGCACCCTTTGGGGCCCTGCTGGCCTTTGTGGCGCTCGTCAGTGTCCTGCAGCGTCGCAGCCCCAGACACCTGCCCCAGTGGCTGCGGACGTGGGACTTCCTGCCCCGCTGGATGCACTCCCTGCAGCCCCTGGACCGCCTCATCACCCGTGCCACTCTGTGCTGTGCCAGGCCTGAGCCCCGCTCCCCCCCGCTGCCCACCAGGGTGTTCCTGGAGGAGCTGCCCCCCGCCACCCCGTCCCCCCGCCTGGCAGTGCCTGCTCGACACAATGCCACCCGCCTTTAGCCTGCGGCCCGAAGTGCCACTGGGGGCAGGGAAGGGCCTGTGCTTGGTGCCCACTGTGGAAGGGCAGAGGGCCGTGTCCGTGCACTGTGGGCATGGGCCTGTCCTCGTGTGGGTCCTCAGAGGTCTGGGCTCGTGTGACTGACAGTGTGTACTGTGTGTGTGGGCACGTTCGGGTGAGACTGTGTGTCATCCTGCACGTGTGGACTGATGCACCTGTGGGGAGCTGTGTGCAGGCTGCGGGGTACCTGGCTATGATTTTGAGTCCTTGACCCACAAGGGGGTCTTGTGGGGAGGCCTGCGCTTGGTCCTCCCGTACACACAAGTCTGACTCGGCGGAGCGGGAGTAAGGGTGGGTCTGAGGACGTGACTTGCAGCGGTTTGTTTGTGCAGAGATGTGGGAGCCTGAGTCACTGGCTGAGTTCTCACCCCTCCCGGTCACCCCCATTGCTCCATTATACCACTCTCCTCATCCTCACCTGGCTGTTCTGCAGCACCACCACAACCCCCTTTCCCAGTACTGCATGATGAAAAAGGAATTAAATTCTCATTATGCATTTACAAGTCTGTGTGCCCTCCATCTGGGGAGGGTGGTAGACCATGGCTTGGGGTTCAGCAGCACTATTTCCTGCAAGCCCACCCCAACAATCCACCTAACCCTGCCTTAATGAGTCCAACCCCTGATTCAGACTTCCCGGGAGTCCCTCCTAGGGCCTGGGACCACCCCAAGGCAAGTATAAGGAGGGTTCTCTGCGCCATCCCCACCCACCCCATCCAGCTGACTTCCTCTAGTCTCTCCCTGCCTCTGGACTCCCTTCCCCTTTCTGGGATAAGATTAGTGTTCCAGAAAACTAGTGACAGGTGGGGGCTTGTCAGGAGACACTGAGGTGGGGCAGGGAAGGTGAAAATGGGCAAGAGAGGCCATACCCTGGGCCCCAGCACATATTGGGCAGGGACCAGCCACCCTCCCTCCCACCTTTGTCCTTTACCTTTGGGCAATAAACTGAGCCTCACTTAAACCCATCCAAGATTTTCAATTCCTCCTTTTCCACAGGGCCCCTGGAGCTGAGGCCTGCAGAGTAAGGGTCAAGGGGTGGGCGATACCTAAGTTCTTCCTTCTCCAAGGGGGGAGGAAGGCCCTAGGGCCCCAGACCTCATTGTGATGGTCTTGGACATGTGCTCTCCTTCCACTCCCTCTGGGGTATGTGAGAGGAGATGCAAGAAACTGGGAGCCCCAGAGCTGCTCTCCAGCTACCAGCCCTACTCCACCACCCACTCACAACACTTCCAAAGGCTTCCTCCTGCCAAGTGGAGGGGGTGAGAAGTACACCGGCCTCCAGCCTGACTCCCTGATCCCATAGGGCCTACCTGGGGTGCACCTGGGGAGGGATGTGGGAGGGGCTCCCTTTATAGTGTGTCTTGCACAGAGGTGTGCAAAGTTTTTTGGGAAAGGACTCTGGGAAGCCAGGCCAGAGGCCTCTGCAGGGCACTCATGGATAAGAGGGCCATGTCTAGGGTACAGGAGGCTGGGAAGCCTCTGGACTCAGAATCCCAGCCCCATCAGGTACCCCCCCGCCCCGCGCAAGAATCTTCCAGGGAAACTGGTTTTGTCATCTGCAACTGCCCTGCTCGCAAACATAGGATAAACCAGCCACGCCCAGCAGTTTATTTTGGCCCAGCCGCACGGCACCCTAGCTGTCCTGCTACGTGCCCTGCATGCGTAGCCCCTTGATCAGTTTATGCACTGTCTTGTTGAGGATGCCCCCGTGCACGCCGCGCCGGCCCATGAGCACGAGGAGCACACGCGGGGTGTGGCCCACGCAGACCGCGCGCCCATCCAGCCCTTTAGTGCGTGCGTCCAGAACTCCATCGTCCTCAGACAGCAAGTGGTCGCGGATGACGCAGCAGCGGCGGCCTGCCACGCTCAGGCCTGACTGCAGGAAGGTGCACCGGTCAGGACCTGTGAGCACACCCACCTCTTGCGGTGATATGGCAGCCAGAAGGCCTCCGGGGCGCGATGCCCACACGCAGCGATTGTCCGAGTGACCCACGATGGCCACGTCGTCAATGCGCTGGTCCCGCAGCACCGCACTGATATAGCTTTTCCAGTCTCCCATTCCGGCTCAAAGTGCACCCCTGGCGTCTAGGCGCACTTTCGCGCGATATCCGGCTGTTCCACGTGCCTGGAACCGCGGACACTGTGACGCAAGTCAAGTCGGGCGGAGTTGTGACACTGAGGCATGGCGATGTCACAGAGAGGCTACGTACACTGGAGAATGTATACGTGGGGTGAGGGAAAGGCGTGGTGAAGTTGTAAAGTTAGCCTAAAAGGAAATTGCGGAGCGCCTGGGTGGCTCAGTCGTTAAGCGCCCGCCTTCGGCTCAGGTCATGATCCCAGAGTCGGGGGACGGAGCCCCCCAATCGGGCTCCCTGCTCAGCAAGAAGCCTGCTTCTCCCTCTCCCACTCCCCCTGCTTGTGTTCCCTCTCTTGCTGTGTCTCTCTCTGTCAAATAAATAAATAAAAATAAAATCTTAAAAAAAAAAAAAGAGGAAACCACCTAAGTCTAAGCCCCCCCTTGAAAAACTAACTTAATTGGCTCACCAAGCACAGTGTACACGTGGGTTTAAGAACAAAAAGAAAGAGAGCAAGTCTGGACAGCCAGACCTCTCAGCCTGGTAACCATTCAACCCCCAGGATTCCCAGTTTGGTTCATCAGACTCTCCTAGAAATCTGTTAAACAGAGTGCTGGGTCCCAACTCAAAAGAGTTTCTGATTCAGTAGTATGGGAGGCAGCCAGAGAATATATGTTTCTAACAAGTTTCCCGTTGATGCTGCTGGTGGTGGTCCAGGCACACTTTGAGCCCCACTGCCCTAGTGCAAGTTGGGGGGGGGGTGTCTTCCACATTGCCAGCTCTGAGTCCACACCAGTGTTTTAATGTTAAGCCTTTCTGACCATGGTTCTCAGCCTCCACTGCACATGGAATCACACGGAGAGTTATAAAAACGTACACTACCCATACCATACCTCATACCTAGAGATACTGACTTAATTGATCTGAAGTGGATCTCAGGCATAGGTTCAGAAAGCTCCCCAGATAATTCTGGTGTACAGTAGAGGTGAGAACCTCTGTTCTATAAACTTCAAATGTTAATAAGATAGTTTCAAACAAGGAATAATATATGGAATCACCTTGCTCAGGGCTTGGTACACAGTACCACTTAGTAAACATCAATTGGACATGAATCTCTAGATCTTGCTTAAGATTTCAATAGATCCTGTTCCCTGAGGGGTGTGGAGAAGTGCACCGGTTTACTGTCTTGGCATTTCCCATCGGGGCCCCTGCAGAGCTGTGCCTCTCAAGCATTTTCAAAAGCATTTATTGAGTGCCTACTCCATGCCTGGCGCGGGGCTGATGGTGCTAAGAGGAATGGAACACCATCCTTGCCATCCATAATCATGGGCCAGCCACCCTTCCACTCCAGAATCGCCCAGGAGGAAAGGACGAGTCCCTGGACGGTCAGGAATTGGTGTGCTCCTGGATCCAGGTCAGGTAGCTGGCCACATCGGTGTACACACCTGGCTTGTAGCGGTCGCCACAACCCGAACCCCAGCTGATGATACCTCGCAGGATGAGCTGGCTCTCTGAGGCCTCGTCCTCACACACTAGCGGGCCCCCGGAGTCACCCTGGGTCAGGGACACGTGGCTCAGCGCCCTTGATCTGGGGTCTGCACTTGACCGGGTGGTGGAGGGCGTTGAGCCCAATCCGGCCCATAGGCTCACCTGGCAGGCGTCGGTGCCGCCCTCGAGGAAGCCAGCGCAGAGCATGCCGGGGGTAAAAGAGGCTCCGTGCACGTCGGGGGCGGAGCAGCGCTTGGAAGGGATGAGCGGCACCTGCGCTTCCTGCAGGAAGCTGGAATATTCCCCCGCCCCTGCGAACCGAGAGCGCTTTCCTCACACCCCTCGCGACTCTGCTTGCAGCCCACTAATTGGCCTTTATCGCAGCAAGCCCGTGAGGAAGAGAGTTGCTGTTAACACCATTTCATAGACAAGAAAACTGAGACCAGAGAAGAGCCGGGATTTGAATGCGCGGGGCGGAGCAAGACTGCTTTGGAACCCCACCCCCACTTCCCACCCAACGACTCAGAACAATGCTCCCCAATTAGGGAACCGATTGCCCCAGCGCCAGGCCGGCATCCTTGTTAGCCCTTGCATCGCAGCGCCCAGAAAGAACCAAGAGAAAGTGTGATTCTCTCTGTACCCCTTAGGAGACTTGGGGACACTGCCCCCCCAGCAGTGAAGCCCAGGCCCTGGCAGGAGGGGACTGCAGAGACAAAAGCTCTGCAAGTCCTCCCAACCCACGAGGTCAACGCCACCTGTCCCTAGCGGTACCAAAACTGCGGGTTTCTCTCGCCTACCCCGGTGGCCAGAGGTGTCCCTGCCGCCCCCAGCCGTTCTGCCTACCCTCGAACTGGTGGCCCCAGCCGGCCACCTCGCAGAGCGCGGCCTCGGGCTCGGTTGGGCTGGTAGCTCCGCTCGGCAGGCACACCGGCTGAACGAAATGCGACGGGAGCGCGCACTGGCCGTCCGCTCTCTCCTGGAGGCGCAGCAGCGCTAACGCAGGCGGGGAGGAGGGTGAGACCCGGGCGCCGAGACTCGGAGCCCTCCCCCTCCCCGCCCCGGTCGCCGCGGCGGTGCCCGCACGCACCCAGGTCGTGCTGGTAGGTGATGGGCGAGAAGGCCTCGTGCAGGCGGTACGCGCGCACGGCCAGCGTCTGGCACTGCTCACAGCTCTGGTTATGGCGGTCCTGGCCGAGCACCACCGTCAGCTCCTCCGGCGCGGGCCTGCGGGTGGAGGAGGTGCGGGGGGAAGCGCGTTCAGAGCCGGCCACTGGCCTCCTGCTCCTGAGCCCTTTGCTGGGTTTCAGCTTCCTCTTGGGGGCGCTGGGGAAGGGTGGGGGGAGGTAGGGCAAGGATTCGGGTGTCGCGCGGAAGCTGGGCATGTAGGAGAGAGGAGCTAGGGTCCCGGGCGGGGCGGCGGGCGGGCGGGGACTCGCCGGTCCTGCAAGCAGTGAGCCGCCGTCAGCACCCAGCAGGAGGCGATGAGGCTGCCGGCGCAGAAACTGTGTCGCCAGTACAGCGCGGCGATGTAGGGGTGCGCCCCGGGCAGGGCCACCAGTCCCCCGACAACGCGGCTCGCCGAGGACAGCCGTTTCCGGAGCCGCTGTCCGCAGCCCGAACTGGGCACTGTGGGAGCAGCCCAGGCTGAGTGCTGGGAGACGCACCAAGGGTTGGAAGGTAGTTCGCGGTGCGCCCTCCGACTTCCCGCCCCTTCCCAGCTACCTGGGGTCGGGGGCTGAGGCATCTGCAATGCTGAAAGCGAGGGCAAGGGAAGGTCCGGGTGCCCAGAGGGGACTCGGGTTGGAGACAGGCTCTGAGGAACCGCCAGGGTTGGGGCCTGGCACTGTGCCAGACGGCAGTATTCCCAGCTCAGCCGGTCGCCACTCCACACGAAGCACCACGGGCGGGTGTCATTGTCCGGGTTCCTATAACCATGGGAGGGGGCGCTGTTAAAGCGCGAGGAGCCCCAGAGGGCCCTGGGGCAGAGGGGGACGCCCTACCCGCCCCACCCCCACCCAGTGCACCGGCAGAAGGCATGGTTGCCCAGTCCCCAGTTAAGCGCTTGCTCTGCAGTCACTTTCTCATAGGTGGCCTCTGAGGCCCACGGTTGACACCGGGCACCCGAGAGCGCAGTCTCGGCTCTACCGCGGTAGTGAAACCCGCGGCCGGCGTAGCAGCGCGCCTCGGTGTCTGGGAAGAGAGGAGGCGCCTTGCAGACAGGAAGCGGTATGTTTTCCCACCACCCTCTCAGCCCCTGTCCCCATTCTCCCGACTCCGGCTCCGGAGCCCTTCCTCCCTGGGGGCGGAGCTTCTGCTTCCCCCAAAATCCCGACTCACCGACGTCGCAGATGCGTCCAGCGTAGCCAGCTGGGCACCCGCACAGGAGGTGGCCCTCCGCCTCTAAGCAGCTGCCGCCGTTGAGGCACGGGTTGGTGCGGCAGGCTGGCAGATGGAGCGCACTGAGCCACCTCTGGGCTCAGAGACACTCCCCCCCACCCCCCAGAGAATTCCCCTTTCCTTGGACACACCGCCCGATTTCCTAACAGCTTCTCCTCCCGGCCTTTGGCCTTCCTCCCAGGCCAGTTCCCGAGCCGTCCACTCACCCTGGCTGGCCAGCAGCTTGCAGTGGGCATCAGGACCCTTGCACTGGCACTTGGCCACACCTGCCGGCTCAAGCCTATGCCATATTTCTTTCTCGTGGAAGAACTGGAGAAGCTGAGGCTCAAAGCACTTCTCTGGGGACAGAGGGGTGGGGCAGTGGTCTCAAGAGAGGCTGGGATCTTGCCAAGTGTCTGGGGATCCGGAGACCTCTTCGGTAGGCCCAGGACTGCCCTCTTTTCCCAGGGCCCCCTCCCCTGGCTTCTCCATCCCCTTACCTCTCCGGCAGTGCTTCCCAGTGAAGTGTTCTGGACAGATGCAGTGCGGGCCGTGTGGCGTGCTCACACAGGTCCCTCCCTGCTGGCAGGGGCTGTGTTTGCTGCAGTGGTCTGAGAGACGGACACAGTGCAAGGAAGAGCGGGGAGCCTGAGTCAGACAGCCTGGCTCATGGGGGCCAAGTCCCTACCCAAACCTGCTTGTCTTATGACCTTGGCACTCCCGAGTTTCCATGCTTTATTTACTCACCTGCAAAATGGGGCTACCTTCTCCTAGCTAGAACTTTCCCCTCTGCAGGGAGGGAAGGGTCTGGATGGGCCCAGAATACCAGATGTATAGGGGCTGATGATACCCAGGAGAGTAACTAGTGGGAAGAAGAGGGCTCTGGGCCACCCCAAAGGCTGTGTGTAGCACCTTTCACTTTCCTGGGCTCCAGGCAGTATGCCCATTGCTGGTCCTGCTCAAAGTTGGGGGTGGTGGCACACCTGTAGAAAGAGATGAAGCTTCCCTGCTCTGCCCAGGGGACTGGCCCATCCTTCCCTATCAGAGCCCCCTCTCTCCAAGCAGGCTTCCTTGGGCAGAAGGATGGGCAGAATCCATCTCCCACAGGCCCCTGCTCCAACCCCTCCTGGGTAGT